AAAGTCATAACCTCATTTCTTAAGTATCTTAGCTAAAATCAACGCCAGTGCAATCTTGTCATAAAGAGCTTGCTATTAATATATCTGATATGCTATCCTGCTGGTGGCCCACTTTGGAAGTATTTCTAAATTAAAATTGTCTTTAGTGTATCTCTTGGTTCAGCTGAGGCCTGTGAAAAAGAAAAAGTTGTTAGGCTGAGTTTGGTTGAGATGATGATTGACATGAATCAAGTTGTCTCTTCAAGGTGTGGAGAAACCCTGTTATTTGCATTTCAGGTCCTGAGAATATAGCCATACATATTTTTGTAGTAACTCCATCTGACAAGTTTTTTGCCTCAGTGGTAAAAGTGATCAACTCCATAAATCATGGTGAGTCCCCAACACTCTCTGTTGTCATTTATTCACTGATACATTTTCTATCTCTGTGTATGAACGATGGGGCTGTAACAGTGGTCACATTTGGCCAGTGGGCTGATGACTGATTTTTTCCTCATAACAATCGGTTGGTGTCTGTGCCGGTGCTGGTGCTAGTGCCAATTGTGGCCTATAGATGAAATTTCCTATAAATTCAAGTAGGCCTAATTGGAAGCCATGTGATACTTATCAGTGGGCCTCTTTGAAACAATGAAGACCACTTTTGGTCCTGTCCATCCTATCTGCATCTCTATGAGGCTTTCAGTGGTTAGCTAGCTACCCATTGCTGCTGTTGAGAGCATTTAGCGCCACATCCATTATGAAAGTATAACGTACTCATAAATGGAGATGCAAAGATTTCCCTTTTTTACCACTGCTTCCTCCTCTGGTTCCTATAATCCAGCTGTACAGGTATTATAATCTGATTGATATTTTTGTCTGGGAGAGGCTGGCAGGAGTGGCTTTCAGTGAGACAGGAGGGTCACACCTTGCCACGTTCAAACCCTTATGTAATTTTTTGTTCGCTTTGCCTGTCCTTTGGGCACTGACACCATTGGCCAATACATCTAATAAACAGTCTTATGAGAAATTAATATTATTAAACCTCATTATTAGGGCAACCCTAGTTTTTAGGATTTTGCCTCATGTAAACTGGGGATATCATTAAATTTGGAGGAGTAATTGTTATTTATTTTGCTGAAAACTATGGTTTTTTATATTGAACAGCAGAATTCCTTGTTAACTGCTGATTTACTTCTGAGAAATTAACCAGTTTTTTATCCTCAAACTTCAGTGACTTGTGCTACTTCCATCCATCTTCAGTCTCACTGAGCTGGATATTCTGCAAATGATTTCCAGGAATTAACAGATTGTGCAATTGTTCATAATCCAAAAGCAATTATGTTGTAGGATTTTCATGCACATCCCCATATGGGTCCAACTAACCTCAAACTACCATCAGGTTTTCACATGTACTGGCAAATGGCAACAGCTAGACCTCTATGGTCAGGGTTGATGATAGATCTCCTCTCATGGAAACCTTACACAGAGAACCTCTGTCTTCTCTTCCATAAATTATCCTGCTCTTTACAGCCACAAATCATCCTCCTCCGTGAAGGAACTGAGAGCCACCAGGGCAAGCCTCATTTGATATCCAACATCAATGCATGTGAAGCAATTGTGGATGCCATTCGCACCACACTGGGTCCTCGTGGTATGGACAAGCTAATTCTGGATTCTTCTGGGAAAACTACAATATCAAATGATGGAGCCACCATTATGAAGAAACTTGACATAGTCCATCCTGCTGCCAAGACCTTGGTGGACATTGCCAAGTCTCAGGATGCTGAAGTATGTGAGAGTTACACCTTAAACATGTTTTGTGAGACTTTGCTCATCTGTAATGGGAGATTTATTATAATGGGTGTTTGTTTTTACTGCCATAATCTTTGTGTTGATATACATGTTTTACAGGCTCATGCAGACTTTATTATTTACTGTCTCTGTCTGTTGGTATTGTGAATAATTTTATTCACATTGTTGTGTTTTCGTTATATTTTTAGGTTGGAGATGGAACAACAACAGTGGTTCTGTTAGCTGGAGAATTCCTCAGGGTTGCTAAGCCATTCATTGAGGATGGGGTCCATCCCCAAATTATCACAAGATCATATACCAAAGCCACTAACCTTGCTTTGAAGAGGATTGAGGAAATTTCTGTGAAGGTTAGAACTTTCTTTCAGCTGCTAGTTTATTTAACTATTTAATTGAGAAGAAAAAGTTGTTAATTTTAGTTTTGTGTTCAACCTGCTTGTTCATGAAAGTCTCAGTTAGAAAATATCCACTTTTATGCTCATATGCTCTGATTAACCCATTACTTTCCAATGTTCCTGTGGAGGAACATGAAAGTAAATTAAACTTTTATTTGTGAAAAATTCGGAAATTGAGAAGGAAAATTTAATTGAAAATTAATGGCTTAATATTTTGAAAATGAGAATTATCAGTGCTTGTTATTGGCTTGGTCTGCAGCCAGGTGAGTGGAAGAAGAGAAAAAAAAACCCTGATGGCATGTAGAACCAGTCCCTTGGCATATTTGAGAATTTCCACAATACTATTTATAAAATGGGAACATCGCTCAGTAAAACATAATGCCATGCTACATGAAGTTCATTGTAAGAAAATTCATTACTGCAATGATATTTGAACTGGCTCTCGGGAGAACCAATTTATGCATATAACACAGCTTATAAGTGTAACTGGCTTTTGTTATTATTTCTGTATCAAGGCCATGGGATTAAATACTCTCAGAATGCACAAAGGAGGAAGAAAAATGATTGAGTAGGCAGAAAAGAGGAGAGAGCATTTTCTGAGCCATTGTTATCTCTTAATCTAGAGCCAAACTAGAAGTGGAAGAAAAAACAAGGGGAAAAAGGTGGAGTGAAGTTCTTAGAGTTGTTATAAACATATGATTAAGCTTTTTAAATATCAAAGGCCATAACAAGGATATAAACCCGTAGTGCATTGATTTGCAAAACTTTCCTTGGTTCTTTTCTTTAGGCCAACTTAACTAGTGCTCCTACTGGAGTACACTTGTGGTTTTCCATGTTGAATCTTGTTTGTAAGTGATTCACCTTTGCAGGTAATGGAAGATAATCCAGTGAAGCACAGAGAGCTCCTAGAGAAATGTGCTGCTACTGCTCTTAGCTCCAAGTTGGTGTCAACTCAAAAGGACTTCTTTGCAAAAATGGTTGTTGCGGCTGTCAACTTATTGGATGACCTCTTGCCCTTGGATATGATTGGTGTGAAGAAAGTTCAGGGTGGGGCTCTGGAGGTGAGGAGCTGTGCCATTTGGAATAACTTCTCACCTTTCACAATTTGTTTGTCTATCCATGGCTGAAACCATGATGATTTATGCACTCTTACAGGATTCTCTTCTTGTTGCGGGAGTGGCTTTCAAGAAGACTTTCTCTTATGCTGGCTTTGAGATGCAACCTAAGTTGTACCAGAAACCAAAAATTGCTCTTCTCAACATTGAATTGGAGCTGAAGGCTGAGAGGGATAATGCTGAAGTCAGAGTGAAAGATGTCAAAGTTAGTTCAATACAGAATACACCTCTTTTACAGTGAGGGATACTCATACTTCATCAATGGAGTGTCTGTGAACAATTTTTGCAGGAGTACCAGAAGGTTGTTGATGCTGAGTGGACTATCTTGTATGAAAAACTTGACCTTATTCACAAGTCTGGTGCCAAGGTGGTCCTGTCCAAGTTGCCCATTGGAGATGTGGCCACTCAGTATTTTGCTGATAGAGATATGTTTTGTGCTGGACGGGTCCCTGATGATGACCTCAAGCGTACAATGAAAGCCTGTGGGGGATGTGTCCAGACTACTGCACATGATATGCGGGATGAGGTTCTTGGCAGATGTGAAACCTTTGAGGAGCGTCAAATAGGTGGAGAACGGTAAGCTAACTAAGAGTATGTTGAGCATGAGAATTTAAAATTGAAAATGTTGTCTTATTTTTACCCCTTTATCTTGAACTTGGCAGGTATAACTTCTTCAAAGGGTGCCCCAATGCCAAGACTTGCACAATCATACTGAGAGGAGGAACAGAGCAGTTCATTGAAGAAACTGAGAGATCCTTGCATGATGCCATCATGATTGTTCGCAGAGCAATCAAGAATGATGCCATTGTTGCAGGTTTGCATGCATTACATTGAGGCATCTTGTGCTCATGTAGTAGAAATTAGGGATGCACCGATACCGAACCAAAGTATCGGTATCAGCCAATATTCAGTGGATCAGCCAGGATCGGTATCAGCTGATACCTATATGGCCGATCTGATCCGATTCTCCCTTGCTGCATCACCTACTTGATGCGCAGCATGTAAATTTTGGGAACGTCTCAAGAAAAAAAACCCACTTGTAATGGCATATGGTTCCTTAAGTCCATCATAATTCTTGTTAATCTCCAACTGATGGGCAATGAGTTTGGGCATGGTTAAAGCGGAATGCGAGAGATTTGAGAAGGGCATTATACAAACAGAATGGGCCAGAGTCATCCACGTATACATTCATTCCTTCACCTTCCCCCATTCCATCCCATCTCCTGCCTTCCTGCACTGACCAGTTTGCGCAGGTGCACTTTGTGCTCACGGCCATCTCACCTCCGGCTCTCCCCTTGAGCACCGATCCCAGTTGTAGTTGCATCAACTCCTTAATCCCTTAAGGACATGAGATGTAGTTCCTACTCCTACTCCTCTTGGCACCGATCATCCTTTCTACAATCCGATGTATTCTCGGCTGGCCCAGTGAATGGTGGGGGAAGTTTTAGCCTATACTGAAGAAGTTAATTTATTGGCTGACTTAAATATCTCCAGAGCTAAATAAATTACAGGAATTTTGAATGTTGGGTCATTAGTGTCCAAGGATTTTTTTATTTCTTCCCTTCCATGCCAAAGGTAGTATAAGGCCTACAAAGGTCTGATCTCACGTCAGGTTTCACTTCTGACAGCCACTGGGAGCTGTCTGTATCCATATTGGTATCGGATCAGTGCATCCCTAGTAGAAATGATGAAATGCTTATGATATGCAATTGTTATTCCACCTGGTGATGAACAGGGGGTGGAGCCATTGAGATGGAGCTAAGCCGTTATCTGAGGGAGCACTCCCGGAGCATAGCTGGCAAAGAGCAGCTCCTGATTGCTGCCTATGCCAGAGCCTTGGAAGTCATTCCTCGGCAATTGTGTGACAATGCTGGCTTTGATTCCACGAACATCTTGAATCGTCTGCGGCAGCGTCATGCACAGAGTGAGCTTGAGAAGTTACTGTTTCAATCTTGACTTCTGAATTGGTGGAATTCATAAGAACAAGACTTTGTTCTACAATATAGATGCAAGCATAAATCTTTTGAAGGTTTTCATCATTTATGTCAGATAGAACCTTGTGGGCAATCTGCAACTTGAAATCCAAGTGATAACTCAGTCATTCAATTATAGAAGAATTTAAGGGGAATGAGCTTGATAACAGGAATTTATCATTTGTGGTTTCAATACCTGTTAGAAAATGAATTGTAGCTCCAATATTTCATGAACTCTTTACATTCTATCCTTCTCTATTTTGTGCAAAATAAATGTTTTCATGCTAAAACTTAGGAGGGTGAAGAAATCCAGAAGGGAAAGAGAGATGACATGCAACATGCATGAATGAAGGTAAAATAAAAAATCAGTGTTAACAGAAGCATCAGTAAATCATTCATACTTAGCAATAGCAGGCTCTTCTTTCTGTTTCCATAAAATCATATGCTCCCATCTGCAAAGGGTGTTGTGATGTCACAAGTGCTGTCAATGATAAGTTTTTCCTGATGATCATTCAGGATGAGAATGTCACAATTAATTAAATTTTTAAGAACCTTCCCATTAGTTTGCAAGAAGGAAACAGTTTTCAACTTTATTTACTGTATACATGCATTTTTTTTAAGGTCTGATTTTTTTCATGCAACAGATGATGTCTGGTGTGGTGTGGACATCAATGAAGAGGATGTATGTGACAACTTCATAGCTTGTGTTTGGGAGCCAGCAATGATGAAGGTGAATGCATTAAGTGCTGCCAATGAAGCAGCTTGTTTGATCCTCTCAGTTGATGAAACCGTGAAGAATCCAGCTTCAGAGAGCCAAGAGAACAAGCCACCCTTGCCTGGAATGGGCCGAGGCCGAGGCAGGCCCATGTAGCCTCAATGTCCTTGTCATGGGTGGGTGCCATTCCATCTGAGCTCCAGTGAGGCCTGCTTTGCAGTTTTTTTTTTTTTTTTAATTTGCCTTCTTCCTGAAGCCCCTCAACGATGATTCAGAAAAAAATATTTTCCTGCAAGTTTCTCTTTGTTGCTCTGGTAGATGGAAGACCCATATTCACAGTGGAGCATACATCACACTCCTTTTAATGGGTTACATCACTCCTCCTTCCTTGTTCTCTGTCCTCCCTTGAATCTATAATAAAATTTCCTGAGTTTCTTTTTCCACTATTGCATTGTTTTCTAATAAAATGCTATAATACTGTCATGTGAGATCATTGAATTATTTGGCCTTATGATCAGGTCCAACATCAAATATTAGGACAATGTTCTCTTGTGCATTAACTATATATCATCTGCATGAAAGTGGCAACCTGATCACTAAATATCTGTGTCTCAATCACTGTTGCAGCAATGTTGCAGGTTGTTACATCTAGCAGCCCTGAGAGTTACAATAACCTCTCAGTATGCAGCATGACTTTCAGTAGTACTCAAAACCATCCCATCAGCATAATTCATGCCAACATTAAAAATGTGCAATACATATATCACTTTTGCATGTTGAATTGCAAGTCTCACTCAAAGTGAGTTTCACTCACAAGTAATGTGTTCCTATCCTTAAAAGTGCAGGCTACAGCTAACAGATTAAAGGAGACAATTGATGTCCTAATGGCAGAAGGAGTTTGCTTGAAAAATTACAAACATCAAATTTGAATGGAAAAGGTCTTCACAATATCAAAGCTCTACTTTACTGGAAGAAATAATTATCTGAAATATCCGTGTCCTGTATTGAATTGTTTAGTGCAATTGCAGGTAGCAGAGACATGTAGCTATGCAACATTGTAGATCAGGGCCTCCCAACCCTTTTCACCCATGACCCCAAAAATCACGATCATACCATTCAGGACTCCAAGCACTAGCTGAAGTTCGACATGCTCACCCATCTATGATCTAAAATAGCAAATAAATACATGACTTGGCATTTAGCTGCCAGTTCATGACCCCAAATATGATCTTGATGACCCCAGGGTTAGGAAGCCCTGTTGTAGATGTTTCCTGAAAACACATTAGCAAATTTTTACCCCTAAAGCTTGAATCTCTTTAACTTATTGTTTCCAGGTATTGAGGTCATCATTGAAGTGATAGTTTTTTAAAACTAAAACATCACAGCAGTGAAGAGACTCAGCATGTGGAGGTATATGTTGAATTCAGAACTACATGCTTATTTGAATTGGTATCTAGTGGGATTCCTTTTACTGTTTTGGTCAGACATTGGGTGTTATTCACAAACCATCTCTAACACTAATTTGGAATTAAGAAGAGGAAGTTATTTGTCATCACACTCATGAATGAGCATAGGAGATTGGCATTAACACATTTTTCACCAATCAGAAAAATGCTGGTGGTCACTCCAAAAGGTGATGATGAATATGTGCATTGGTTAATTCCCAATTGCACTAATTCTCATTTGTGAACACCAGCCATATTCATAGGCATAGTGAATGCCTGGNTGGGAAAAGTTTATTAAGTCTTCTCATAAATGGTGTTGTTAAAGTCCTTGACAGGATTTAAAAGGTTATAACTTTTTACCCATAGAATATAGAACAAAATAGTGAACTGCTCTGCAAAGCCTTATGCAACTTTTTTTTTCACATGGCATTTAATAATCAGTTGACCAGATGAAATTCAGATGAACTGTAGCTTCATCTGAAAACATCAAGTGCTCCAATAATCCAGCTGATTCGGACTTTTTCCTTTGAAATAGGTAACAGAACTCCAGCCTAGCATCATAATCATCCTCCGTTAAGGCCTGACAAACCTGAATTTTGTAGACATGTGAATGTAGTGTACCTTTAAAATTTTTTAACTGTTGAAACTAGAATGTAACATTTCTAGTGAGGCACAGGGAAGTGATTTTTGTGAGCTTCTTCTAAATGCTTTTTGAACAGTTGCTATAGTTTCTGCACTGGTGCTTGATTTCCCTGATTGTTTTGCCATGAACTATTTTTACTTCTTAATTCAATTCTTAATGGCATTAGTCGAAGGTGCTTCTTTGTATTAATGTGTCTCGAACCTTCATTTCATTGATGTAATTGATTTCAATTTAGCTAACCACAAAATACAGTTCACTTTTTCCTCTGTTGTTGCCATCATCTTGCACTATACTGGTGGATATGTGCAGATCTGAAATATTTTTTAACTTTCAGAATTAGGCTTTGTGAAGAAGTTCCCTATTTTGTTCTATCTTCTTTTGGGTTAAAAGTTATTGCTTAAACTTGTCAAAGACTTCATAAGCACCCTGTATATCACTCTTTTATAGAAATGCATGCCTTGAGGAGGCAAAGACTCTTGGGTTTGTGTTGCCAGTGTGTGAGAACCCAGTGGCGAGTTCCACTCAGGACAAAACGAAGTAAGCATCGTTCAGATGAGATATCATCTTTATTTGTTCCTGTGTTGGTGAAACCCAACCCAGATGACATCAATGTTGGTGTTGAGTTGTCAGAGAAGCTTAGAAAGCAGGACCTCCAGAGGGTATTGGTCCAGTTCCATCAGAGAGAAGAAGTGAAATCCCTATGTCTTGAGAATGGATTGGATAGTAAGTTGCCATTTAAGATTTTGGTCAGTTTGTTGTATGCCTACAGATGCAGGTCCAGGAGTGGTGGGGATGCAGAGATCTATTCATCCCTTAAGTGCTTAAATTTTGGTAGCCATGTGTACACTCTGATTTTATTTTTAAATGCTATGTCTTTGTGCACTAGCATACAAAATTTACCATAACTGAGCACCCAACACACATGCAATATTAGCTATTAAAAAATCAGTTTACAAGATTACAGATGCATAAATTTTGTCTAAAAACAAGGGGTGCTAGAACAAGATATGTAATATTATGTCAAAAGCACTTCAGGGGTTAGTGATGTGGTGTCTGGATGATTCATTTCAGCAGTAGGGTAAAAACATTTTAGTTCGGACAGAACTTAGATGCCATTACCCCAAGGTATTTATTTTATCCACTATGAATATGAAAAGTAATGAAGTAGTAATGATATTAAAAAGTAATGACATTTCTTCATTGAGACTAATGAAAAGTAATTGAAAGAAGGTGCTAAATTATTTTGAGAAACTGATGGTTGATCATAAATATACAGGGTGTCCCAGTCTGGAACCATAGGCACACATATACAGTACCTCTATAAATATAATACTAATGCTCAATTCATTGGGTACATGGCAGTGCCTATTGGTTCTCCAGGTACACAGTGACACAACCTCTGCTTGTTCATCCTAAAATAGTGCCATTTTGTTCAAATTAAACAATTTGAAATGTGCATAAAATACATGTATGATTCCAGACTTTTGGAACACTCTGCAGAATGCTTATGCTTCTCAGGCAACTATGCCCTGAAGGGAAATTGTCTACTTCTGTGTTAGAGACAACAGATTCTAGGTGTGGCCTTTTGAAATAACTCAATTTTGACTTATAAAAAATTATTTGGCACCTTAATTTACAGGTTTATTCGGTCATCCCATTTTCCCTTCTCCAAGATATCCTCCAAAAAATTAAGAAAAATACCATTAGGCAATAGCCATCTATAAAAATAGATGTTGATGGAACTTCCTTTAGGTTTACGATAAACTGTACTCTGTTTCTGATGATGGTACTCTCCAAGTTTCATCAGCCAGATACTGCACATTTCAGATACAAACAATTTTGGCTGAATTTTGTTCCTCATTCTTTTACCATTTCTTTTACTTTTATTTAAAAAATCAAATGTCACTATTACTCTGTGATTTGTTTCATCATTAATTTCAGACACACTTTACCATCAAGCATACATCAGCTTTAGAAGGTACTGCTTGGAATCGGAAGTGCTACCCCCTGAGCTACACATTGTGTTCAGTGATATCTTGCAAAATGCTGGGCATGTTGATGACATCTTCCCCTACTTCATGGCTCATGCTCAGAAGATCTTCCCACACTTGGGATGCATGGATGACCTCAAGAAGATATCTGACCTTCGTTCCCCTACGAATTGGTGAGGGAAGAACAGGGTGAATTTCAGACACATGTGGGGTAGTAAGAAGAAAAGCATTGATGCTTGTCATACCTGACACCATGAAAATGAACTAATCAGTTGGTAGATAGTCTCAAGAATGGGTCAGCACTATACTGTAATTGTTGTTACTCAACTGCTAGTTAAGTGCTTGCAAATATGGATAACCAACCTCTAATTCTTTTAGGGATAACATTTTTTGTGCAATGTGAGGATTTTAAACATAATATTTGCCCTTGAAAAAGCTAATTGATGCCCTGAGTTTGTTCTTGCAGGTACCCAGAGGCTCGTGCCCTAAATCGCAAGATTTTCTTCCATGCTGGTCCCACCAACAGTGGAAAGACCTATCAAGCTCTTGAGAGGTTCTTACAAGCAAAATCTGGTGTGTACTGTGGCCCTTTGAAGCTTCTAGCAGTTGAAGTCTTTCAAAAAGCTAATCAGCAAGTAAGTCCCTTAGCTTGAATGTAAATCTTGCTTACTTTTATTCATCCCTCACAAATTCAAACCTAGGATACTAACTCTAAAAAACCCAGATATATTAGTATAGAAATATAAAGCCATTTTTTTTTGCCATGGGCAATGAGATAATTCTCCCATAGAATTGTAGGTCTTTTGATTTTCTTCCATGTGGAAGCAAAGAAGAAAAATGAAACAACTTCTTCAGGACAGGATCAGATGTAAGGTGGACTGGCAGGAACCTAGATGATGTAAAGGAAAAAAAAAACTATATGTAAACTGGAAAGATGAAAATTTGTTTCTTTATGAATTCACTGCCATATCTTAAGTACCCTAGATCCAACTGATGGATTTTGGTAGCACTTGTCGCATGGGTACTTGGATACTTATTCCCAGCACTAGTAGGGATACATGAAGTGTAGTATTTGCCTGTAGATTGTTCCTATTAATTGCACACTTCATTCTTTCCAGGGAACGCCATGTGACCTGGTTACAGGTGAAGAACGAAGATATGCTGATCCAAAAGGAGAGACCCAGGCTCTGCACTTAGCCTGCACAGTGGAGATGACATCTGTATCGCAACCATGTATGCTTCATCTTCATCAATTGACATTTTCATGAAGCAGTGGAACTCTAATTCATTTGTAATTATTTATCTTAACTGCTGCTACTTTGAGTGCTTAATTTCTCTTTCTGGTCCGCTGTCACGTGAACTTTGCTGCCATAGATGTCAGTTGTAGTTACTGGTGCAAATAGTATTTTCTTTGTATTTTGGGGAGATGCCAAAACTCAAGGATTTGATCTATCCCATAGATGAGGTGGCTGTCATAGATGAAATTCAGATGATGAGAGATCCTGAGAGAGGCTGGGCATGGACAAGGGCACTTCTTGGAGTTGCTGCTGAAGAAGTGCATGTATGTGGAGAAGCCTCAGCAATTCAGTTGGTTCAAGACATGTGTTCCACAGCTGATGAGACTCTGGAGGTTAACATATTCTATTACCACCCATAACTGTGTGATGTTTTGCTACACTTTCCTAAACAGAAAAATGTGTGGCAGGAATAATGAAATTCATATTTCTCTTCCTGCAGGTCAGAAAATACAAGCGCCTCACTGAATTGGAAATTGAATCCAAAGCTCTCAGGTCTCTGGACAATGTGCAGCCTGGAGATTGCATAGTCTGCTTCAGCAAGAATGATATCTACGCTATTTCCCGGAGCCTTGAAAGCAAAGGCCATCAGGTCATTGACTGACATCTTTGCATTGGAAATTTATTATATTTGCTGTGTTCAAAGCAATTATTGTAGAAATCTGGAGACATTTGTATCAAATGACCATCTTAGGAAACACAATAGATACTCTGAAAGGTTATGTTGTGGTGATGGACTGAATGGATGAATTGGTTGTACTCTAGGTCGCTGTCATTTACGGGGGATTGCCACCTGGAACAAAGTTGGCTCAAGCTCAGAAGTTCAATGACCCAGAAGATCCTTGCAAGATCCTTGTGGCCACAGATGCTGTTGGCATGGGTCTTAACCTGTAAGTTATCTAACGCCCTTCTCAGAACTAGCAGGAATACATCCACTCAGTTTTTCAGTTGACTGTGTTTGAAGTTCAGAAGAATTGGCTTCCTTCATTCCTAGGTTCTTATGTCCTTGTGAGATACAGCCTATCTAGGTGTCTCAGAGCTGTTTGAAGCTGTTGATAATCCTATATTTAATTAAAACTAGCGCAACTACAGCTCTGCAACCCCTTTGAATTCTTTCGCAGCTTTGTGTAGTGATGAACTGATGATACTTGTTAGAATGATGATAAAATATCTCAAAATTTTGCAGGAGCATACGAAGGATCATTTTTTATTCCATAATCAAGCCAACCATAAATGAAAAGGGAGAGAAAGAAATGGACATTTTAAGCACATCTCAAGCCCTGCAGATTGCAGGTCGTGCTGGAAGATATGCTACTCAGCATGAAAAGGTGAGCTAGTTTTTGGATGAGAATCGTAATGGAATAGAAAATTTTTTATTAAGGTTTCCAGGATGAAAATCTTTGTGGTTGAGCCCTACATCAATGTCATTGACTGCTTTGAGCAGGGTTATGTGACAACGTTCAAGGCCGAAGATCTCCCGACACTGAAGGCCCTTCTTGCCCAGCAACCTGAGCCATTGACGCAAGCTGGTCTCCACCCTACAGCTGAACAGATCGAGCTCTATGCATATCACTTGCCAAATGCCACTTTGTCAAACCTCATGGTCAGAATTCGCAACAGCTGTCCCAGTTAGTGTCTCTCTGGGGTCTTGTCCTTGACACAATATTTGGTTCTTTTGCAGGATATATTCATAAGTCTTTCCACTGTGGATGATTCACTCTTCTTCATGTGCAACATTGAGCAACTGAAGTTCCTGGCTGACATGATCCAGCATGTCCCTTTGCCCTTGAGAGCTCGATATGTGTTCTGTTGTGCACCCATCAATCGGAAAATGCCATTTGTATGCACGATGTTTCTCAAGGTTGTTCTGATTCTTCATTCCCTTTACTGCCTGGAGAAGTTATGGATGTGAAGTGTGTTATCAAAGAATCCTTTGTTCTCTTGCCTATTTACAGTATGCTCGTCAATACAGTAGAAATGAGCCAGTGACTCTCGATTGGCTGTGTCATCACCTTGGATGGCCTTTTGCACCTCCCCGCACCATCCTGGACTTGGTGCATCTTGAATCCGTCTTTGATGTTCTTGACCTCTACCTCTGGCTAAGGTAAGCTTCTTGCATCTTTGTCCTTGGTCTTTTCCTGTGTTTGCCTGTGTTTTGTTGATGCAGCTTCTTTGGTTTCAGCTATCGGTTCAGCGACCTGTTCCCAGATGCATTGCTTGTGAGGGACATGCAGAAAGAGCTTGATGATGTCATTCAGCAAGGTGTTGTAAACATCACCAAGCTGCTGAAGAACTCAGAAACAGGTATCAGTGGAGCAACTGGCCTTGGAGATGCCCAAGATGCATTTACCCTCAAGATCAAGCAGCAGCAATATAAGTGAGACCCATTTTTTCCTGTAAATTTTCTATGTTGCTCGGACTTTCCTATTTTTTTCACGAAACTTCATCGGAAACCCTCGAGCAGGAAAGGGAAGACAGCAGCCGCACCAGAGTCAGCCACGGCGAAAACGATGGGCCTGAAGAGCCGAGGAGGAGAGCTGACACAAAGGCTGGTCGATCAGGGCCTCCTCACCCCAAAGATGCTGCAACAACTGCAGGAGGAATGGCTGAAAAGCAGCCAGAACGATCCTCCCTCCTCGCCGGTAAGTCGACTTAATTTTCGCTCTCATCTTGTGAGAGCATGGATTCATAAAAGTGATTTTTTGCTCTTTTTCTCTTAACAGAATTCCAAGAAGAAAACTAAATAAGAGAAGTGAACAGCATGCGCTCTAGTGATCTTGAACAGTGTCTATTTTGGACGTAGATGATGATGATCATGGTGCAATGAATTTATTTTTGCTCACTCATTCATTTCCGAGCCAGAGACATGCCTTCGAGCGGAAACATTCTCCCATATCTATCATTCCAAACGCAATCTTTGTCCGTTGTACTGGGGAAAGGAAAGGAAATGTGGGTGTCTTATTTTGGAACGTTCTCTGGCGCGTTCTTGTGAGCCATTTGGCACTGGTACTGGATGTCCTTGTATGGGTGCTGGAGTGTGTTTGCGACGCGATGATGTAGCCCGAGGTCTTGGTGGTATGAGTACCTGGCATGCCAGATATGAAATCGGTCCCCCTGGGCGATACCAGCTATGGCCACCTGCATCGCCCGTCTCCGTGTGACTAATGATGCCCGAAATGGTACCTGAAATGTTTCCCGAGTGCCTGAAATGTCGTCAGAACGCACTGAAGCCCTCGAGGGCCCTCTCTCTCACGTGGGATCGAGGCGGGATCGAGGCAGGGACCGACCATCATAGACGATCCGTTAGGATACGACTCACGATTGTTTTTGCGCGCTCCAGGTTGGGTACTTCGCGGTTTATTACCTGTAGCTCACTACACCGGATTGCACCGTAGAATGAATTGTAGCCTTTGTCTGTGGACCCTTAACAGTTAGCAGCGAACACTTGAGCTTTTCCTGCGGTTATTTATGGGCATTCTAAAGGGAAGAGGAATCGGACTGTCATGCGCCTCGTGATTAATCCTAATTGACCATGGGAAAAGCTTGAAATTCGACCTACAATCGAGTCGTCTGTAAAAAAGAAAATACAGTGAAACCCTCACTAATGACATCATGGGAAATATCCCAGACTAGTATAGCCCTTTGTCGTTAATGCAAGGAGAAGAAGCATTTATTTGAGCAATTATTATATAAGAAGCCTTCTGCAGAAGCAATTACTCTGTAGGCGC